TATTTTAAATCCTTAGCCCCAAAACTGCTGTGCCGTTCATTCACAAACCACTTGTAGAAGTTGCCCCTCTTCACTCGCTTCCAACCTTGTCCTTCAACCATCCCTAACGCAGTTGAAAGGCATGAGCCTTCTCATTCACTTTGAACCCACGAACGGAGGTAGAAAGCAAAACCTTTTCTTCCAGCAGCTTTGCAAGTTGCAAAGTGTACCTTCCACCTGCCTAAGCTAGATGTGTGCCTGATTCCATAGGGAAGAGCAACAGCACAGCAACTTGGACCAACAAATGCACTTAATGACTATGCCATCCTGTGTCAGCATTTGGATTGATAAATAAAGGCAAGACGCCCTCGTGGACTGAGGAATAGACGATTTCACAAACAAACGGATTGATGAATGAACAATTGCACGTACAACCCCGAAAAACATACCAAAAAACATAATCTATAATTATAGATGTGTCTTTTATGTTGTGAGCACACACACACACAAAGCAGGCAGGTGTTGCATTGGCCCGCTCAAATGGAGGCCGCAGGACCTTTGCGATCCAAGGAACTCAAGCAAAGCAATAAAGCAGGCTTGACTTCAACTGGAAACGCCTCGCAACAACATTGCTGTATATATCTTGGCCTCTTGCTGGTTTTGTTGGCAACACCGTCGCTGGGTCTGGCACCAAATAGCAAAGCAATGCTCAAAACATAGGTCTTATGATGCAGCAAAGCCTGGTTTTGCAGGCGCAAAGGCGACCTGTTTTGCCTTGCCATTACCCAGCAGGTCGACGTTTGCACCTGCATGAACTCAGAAAGGGAGCACCCTGTGGGCTCTGCCATTATGTGAATGAGATCTGAAGATTCTTGGGCCAGGGCGTTTTAGCAAACACCTGGCGAGTCGTGCACCACCATCCCACAGAGTGACAGTTGAAGAGACAAACACACCGGCAAAAACAGAACAACTTGCTACTGTGGTGCTTCACAAAGCCACCTGCCTGTCTTGAATTGTGAGTTCATGCGGTGTAGAGTGGGGTCGATGATCTACCAAAACCCAACTAGGCAATTACGACATGTTGGCAAGAATGACAGAATATGTGGTCTGAAGTTTTTCTGGCAAAGAGCTCAGAATAGATATATCTGATTGCTCTTTGGATTCTATAGTTTCAACCTGGGAACAAAACAGAATTGGCCTTGTCTTGAATCCGGCCACGATCAAGAAGAGGGACGCAGCAAAGGCAAGTGCCTGAACCAATCTGAACTATTTCAGAAAATATGCGGCTCACTCTCAAGCTAGTAGGTAGGAGGCCATTGCTATTAGGTTGGAGGCCATCGCTATTATGTTGGAGGCCATCACTATTAGGTTGATGCCATCGCTATTATGTTGGAGGCCATCGCTATTATGTTGGAGGCAATCGCTATTAGGTTGGAGGCCATCGCTA